AGGGAATTATTAGCGGGATAGGAAGAAAATTACCATCCAAGTAAGAATGAGTTAGTGGGAGAGGAAGGGAATTACAGTAGGAAAAGCAGAGATTACTTTCTGGGAGAAGAGGAGAAACATCTGTAGATGAGGGAATTAGTAGCGGAATAGGAGGAGAAATAGGAGAGGAATAGGAATTAAATTATTAATGAACTAGAGAATTATGAGGAAAATAGGATGAGAATAATTGGCATAATAGGAGGGGAAATATTACCAGGGGAGGAATAGAATTGTGAGGGGAATAAGAGGAGATTCATCAGGGGAAGAAGAACAGAATTCGCAGAGGGAGAATAAGAGAAATATTAGTGGGAGAAGAGGAGAAGTAGTAGCTAGAGAGGAAGAGAAATACTGGAATGATCAAAAGAGATTTTTTCACAGGAATAAAAGGTAAGTATTGGGAGAATAGGAATAAAATTACTAGCGGGAGAGGAAGAGAGGTATTCTGGGAAGGTTAAAAAAAAAAAAAAAAAAAAAGGTCAGGGGGAGAGGAAAGGAATATTTATGGGACCGGAAAGGGAGATTTTAGTAGGAGAGAAAGAGCACTTGTAGGGCTATAAGAAAGAAAATTATTAGATGAAGGAAAATGATGAGAAGAATAAGAATAAAATGATGAGCGTGAGGGAAAGAAGTATTCGCGGGAGAGAAAGAGCACTCTTTACGGACGTGGATTAGAAATATAGTGGGAAATTTAGAGATTTGTCAGCGGGAGAAGATGACAAGTTTTAATTGGAGAGCAAGAATTATTAGCGGATGTAGGAAGAAAATGACTGGGGGAATACAATTGTCAGGGGCATTTTAGGAGAATTATTAGGAAGAGAGGAAGAGAAGTCTTAAGGGCGTAGGCAGGGAACTATTAGGGGAATAGGAAGAGAAGTATTAGCGAGAGAGAAAGATAATAAATAGGGCAATAGGAACAGAAATATTAGCTGAATGGGAAGGGATTCTTATGGAAAAAAAAAAAAAAAAAAAAAAAAAAAGTAAGAAGAAAATAATTAGCCGGAGAGGAAGACTTACTGGAAGAGAAAGGGAGATTTTAGCACAAGAGAACTCAGAGGGCTATAAAAGGAGAAGTATTAGGTCTAGCAAAAGAAACTGATGAGGAGAATAAGAATAAAATTATTAGAGTGAGGGGTAGAGAAGTATTAGTGGGAGAGGAAGGGAATTACAATCCAAGCATAAAGAAAGTAATTAACAGGAGAAGAGGAGAATTCTTACAGGAAGAGGGAGAGAATTATACTATGAAAAGTAGAGAATTCTTCGTGGGAAAGAAAGCAAACATTAGCCAGAGATGGAGGGAATTAGCGGCAGAATAGGAGAAGAATTAGGAGAGGAACGGGATGAGAATTATCGGTGGAATAAAATTATTAACGGAAGAATAAGAGAGTGATGGGGAAAATGGGAAGAGAATTAGGAGGAGAATTCCTAGCGGGAGAAGAAGAGAACTCTTAGGGAAATAGGAAAAGAATTTTTAGTGGGAGGAGAGGATTTAGCCAGAGAGGATGAGAATTCTTAGGGGAATAAAAAGAGAATTTTAACTGGAGTAAAAATAAGAATAACATTATTAGAGGAAGAGATATATGAGTGGGTGAGGAATACTAGTATTAGGAGAATGATAATAAAATTCTTAGTGGGAGAGTAAGAGAAAACTTAGGGCAATATATAAAGGGAGTTTTTAGCAGTAGAGAAAGACAAGTTTGTGGGTTACAAGTAGAGAATAATGAGCTCGAGAGAAAGAAACGGTAGGATAAGAAGCATAAAATTATTAGCGGGAGAGGAAGGCCATTCTTAATGGAAGAAGAGGAGAATTATAGTGAGAAATGCAGAGAATATTAGAGCGAGAAAAAGAAAAGTATTAGCCTGAGACAGAAAGAATCGTAGCAGAGTAAGAGGAGAACTGTGAGAGGAATACAAGGAGAACGATGGAGATCCGGAGGAAAATGATCAGAGGAATATAGCAAGAATTATCAGAGAAGAAGAAAGAGAATTATTGGCGGGCGAGAAAGAGAATTATGAGGGAAATAGGATGGAAATTATTAGCGGAATAGGCAGAAAATTACGTGGTGGGAAAGAAAGGGAATTCTTAACAGAAGAGAGAGAGAATTACAGTGGGAAAAGTAGGCCATTACTAGCACTCGAATAAGAATAAAATTAGGTAGAATTGGTAGAAATGGGTAGAAATTAATAAAATTGGTAGAGTGGGAATAAAAGTTTTAACCGGGGAGACGGAAAAGATTTAGAAGGAGAGACGGGCAATCATTAGGGGATTAGGAATTAAACTATTAGCGGAGAGATGGAGAATTATTAGAGGAATACAAATAAAAGTGTCAGTGGGAGAGATGGAAGGTTATTAGGGGAGTAGTAATAAAAGTATTAGTGAGAAAGACAGTAGTTAGTGGGATAGCAATAAAATTAGCGGGAGAGAGGGACTACTATTAGAGAAAAAACAATAAAAATATTAGCTGGAGAGACATAATTATTAGGGGAAGAGGAAAAAAGTATTAATGGAGGATACACAATAATTGCTGGGATAGCTATAAAATTATTAACAGGAGACAGAAAATTATTGGAGGCATATTAATAAAAGGCATATTAGTGGGACAGACGGACAATAATTAGCGGGGAAGAGGAACAAAAGTACTAGCGGGAGAGACGGGGAATTATTAGGGGATCAGGAATTAAAGTATTAGCGGGAAAGATGGAGAACTGCTAGTGGAATGGGAATAAATGTAGTAGCGGGAGAGTTTTGCAATTATTAGGGGAACAGGACCCAAAGTATGAATGGGGGAGATGGTAATTAGTGGGAGAGCAATAAAATTATTAGCGGGAGAGGCAACTATCAGAGGAAAAGCAATAAAAGTATTAGCCGGAGAGAGAGAGACGATGATTAAAGGAATCTGAATAAAATGCGTAGCGGGAGACACAAACAATTAGTATGGAAATAGCAATAAAATTATAGGAGAGACTATTAAGATAAAAAAGGGAACGGGAATGAAAGTACTGTCGGGAGAGAGAGACAATTATTACGAGAACAGGAATAAAATTACTGTCGTGAGAGACAGGCGATTATTTGGGGAAGAGAAATAACACTTTCAGCGAGAGAGACTGTGTTAGTGGGAGGGACAGACAGTTATTAGGGAAGTGTAGTAGAATTATTAGCGGGAGGGAGACAATTTTAACTGGGAGACAGAGTCAATTATTAGAGGAAAAGGCATAAAACTTTCAGCCCCAATTCTTATGGGGAGAAAAAGGGGACGCAAGGGAAAACTAATGCGGAGTGCACGAGAAGGAATTATTACGAAAAGAGAGAGGGCGAGCGAATAGGGCTTATTACAGAGAGCACGTGGAGCTTTTGTTACGGAGAGCACGGAACAGTTATTACGGTGAGCAAACAGGGGAGTGAGGGGGAATTATTGCAGAGCGTGCGGAAAAACTTTTTCGGGACACAGGAACAAATATTGCGGGCAGCGACAAAGAATTACTAGGGGGAGAGAAAGCTGGCGCGCCGAGAGAGAGAAGAAGAGAAATTATGGCGGGGAGCACCAAAGAGTTATTTCAGGGAGTGCAAGAAAGAAGTATGACAGAGAGAGAAAGGGAGAGCGTGCCAGGAGGAGTGGTTGCGAAGCACGGAGTTATTACAAGGAGAGAAAGGGGGAGCGCAAAAAGAAATTACTGTAGAGAAATAAAGAGAGTTATGTTGAGGGACAGAGAAAGGATCGGGGAGAGAGAGAAATGAACAGCGCTTGGATTGCTCGCCTCTTTCCAAGCCCTCACCTTTTGCATGCGACAACTCTAACAATCCCACCAGATGGGCGTGCGGGTGCAGGCGATGACGACCGGAAGGCAGCAGCGGATCGTGAAGTACTAGGTGTTTCTTTATGGGTCTGTCCCCGCACAGCGCTTCCCCAACAAACCAACCAAAATGAGGGGTGAGTTTTCGGACTGCTACTCTGATGCTTTTTCAGGATGACAGAGCTCACTGTCTTCACAGGGGACAGTTAGTTGGACTTTACCTACAGTCCTGCCCTTACCTGCCAGGGAAAGGGACCCTCTCCTGTCCCTTCTGCTTATTACTGCTAAGTAAAGGAGGTACTTAAAAGTCGTTGGGGTTCTTTTAGGTCCTTCAGTAGCGTTCAGTTTTCTTTGAAGAGACAAATACTCACATGTCCCCCGTATGCCAAGCTACCGACAATTTACAACGAAACAGACCGTCAAGTCTTCTTYGCTGCGGTGAGACTAAAACAAAACTAGGGAGATGGGTCCCACACTTATTAGGAAGAGCCTTTTCCTGTTGTTCAGGCTCCAAGAGCCTTCTCGTGTTGTTCAGGCTCCAAGCTTATGGAGAACACCAGAAGAGAGAGCAGGGGACTTGCCAGGAATGTTAGCAGGGACGGGAGCACTAGGGGGGTGCGCAGAAAATGGGCAGCTCGGCCCCACGCTCTGGCAGTCCTGGCCCTGCGCTCCAGGCCCGGACAGATCCGGCGCCAAGACGCCGCCATCCCACGCCCTGCACGGCCGCCTTCACGCGGCGATGGCTGCACCGGCAGGATGAGCCCGAGGCCCACGACCACCTGTAGGGACGCGACCCCCTCACCGTACCCTTCCTCCACGCTCCTGTCTGGAGGCGCTCAGGCTCCCCACGAGGACAGCGCGTCCGCCGCGGAGGCGCCACGCGAGACAAGACCGCAGGCACCGTGCGGGCACTGCCGAGAGGGGACTGAGCAAAGCGTGGGGGGTGGGGGGGGGTGGAGAAAGGAGGTGACACCAGTTGTGTCCTCAAGTTGTGCCAGGGAAGATTAACATTATACATTGGGCAAAATTTCTACGTGAAAAGATGAGTCAGTCATTGTAATAGGCTGTGCGGGAAACTGACAGTGTCACCATCCCCGACAGCATCCAAGAACCGTGTAGATGAAGGACTTAGAGAGACTCAGGTTTAACAAGCACGGTGTCGAAGGGCTTACGGTTGGACTCGATGGTCTTGAAGGTCTGCGACGGCCTCTTCAAGATGACCAAAATGTCGGAAAGGAGCGGTTGACAGTGACGTGTCGGCACTGGTGAGTTGCTGGAGGATGGGCAGGACCCGGGCTTCACGGCCACACTTCTGCTTCTCTGATCCTCGAGCGGAGCACAGGGGAGCGCTCAGGGCGTGGGCCCTCCCTTACCTTTGCGGGACAGCTGCTTCGACGGCGGAGAGCTGCGGTGAGCGGAGCGATCTGCACGTGCATGCGCCCCGTTGCTGTCGTAGTACTTATTTTTCAGCGCAGGAGGGCAGTCAGGAGCGCTGCGCAACGTCGGGCACGCGCGCGCGCTGCCCTTCCGGCAGCAGTTCTGCTGTACTGACACGTTCAAGGGGTTCACTCGGCTTCCAGAATGGCAGGACTTTTTATTTGTTGTTTTGTTATTTTTTCCAGTGGTGACTGCAGTCAAACAGCTATTCATGCTTTAAGGAGTAGAACATCCTTATTTTATATAGATATGCATGCAGCCTCCATCCTTACGTGGACCGAAACGAGCAGCTTCTTTGAAGACGGTTGCAATAAAAGTGCTTCTCCCCAGGTCATGCTCGCCCTTTCTAGAATCGTAATATGACGTCTCCAGTCTGGGGAAGCTGTCAAAATTCTGTTCTTGCAGGCGCGAATGCGGCAGTTGGGGGTGGGAACGTAGGGCGCACGCACGTCATTCGTCTGCAGTACCGTTTATTGGATGCGTGGGGGCCGCACCGAGGCAAGGGAAGGCAGCGCGAGCGCGCCTCCTTCAACAGTACAGTATTTCTCGTAGCCACGGGACGGCAGCAGCGGACGCCGCGCGCACGCGTCCGCTCTGTGCTGACGCGGAACAGCCCCCTTCACCCGCGAGGGTAGGAAAGGAGCGGGCTGGCGGTGGAGCCCCTGGCGTGCAGGTGCAGAGTCAGACCGCTGACCGTGTGCGCAGCACGGTCTTCATTTGGTGCATGCGCGTTTGCATCGCCGCCCCCTTCAGGACGGCTATTTTCCAGAAAGAGACTACTTTGGGTTTTTTTTCCAAGAGTACCTCTTTAAATTTTTATTTTACTCCACTACCATCACCACTACTGCAGTGTGAAAACAAATCCAAATGGTCGGGTCTGTCTTTCATATAGATGTGCTCGTATCTCCAACATACCTGATTTGAAGCAGGCAGCTTCTGAGGGCTTCAGGAACCAAACTTTCAGCTGAACAGTGCAAAAATACAGACCAAGATTACTTGCACAGGCTGCATTAAAAAAAAAAAAAAAAAAAGAAAGAAAAGAAAGAAAAAACAATATATAAAAGACTTTAATTTTTAATTACTGCATCCCCACTGAAATGGATTAGGGCGACATTATTCTGTTCTGGCTGCTAGGCTGACTACGCAGGACCCGCGCCACACCAGACACGCCCCACACCAGACACACACACACACACACACACACACAAGCTCCCTCCAGCCGTTAAGCCCTACAAAAACACAACTGTGCGGCTCTCATGCTCTAGAAAAGAGCTGAAAGTGTCAAATGCCACTGACTGTGGCAGAAAGGGGCCAGGAAAGCCCAGAACAGGAACGCAGAACAAGTCAGAAAGGCCCGATGCCTTGACAACGGAAGAAACAACATTGTGAAAGGGGGCCRGACGGCGCAAGAAGAGCACGTGGTGGCAAAGACGGCCAATGAGGCCACAACGATGGCCGCAAAGACGTGTGGCCGCTAGCGACAGCCTGCCCCTTTTGTCTGGCCGCACGGAACAAGCTGCGATCTGCCGGCGCGACGCTGGCGAGCGCAGCCAGCATAAGACAACAAATGCTTCCATGCTAGCACCCTGCAGCGCAGGACTTGCTCCACGAGCACAAAGCGTGAGAGCGACAGCAGGACCTGAGCACAAGAGAGTGAGGCTGCGATGCAGACCGCAGACGGACTCGAGCTGTCCGCTGTCGCGAGCCCTCACGTTTCACCACAAGTCGAGTCCGGATGCCCCGCGATGCTTTGCCCGTCAGCAGGGTGTCTTCAGTACTCGGGCTCGCCGTCGCTCCTGACGATGCRTTCTTGACCCTCTCACACACGTGCGCACACCCACACGCACCACTACACCCTTCCCCTCTCTGCCTGGCTGTGGCAGCACTCTAGGTCACCGACAGGCCTTGATAGACATCCTCAGCGGCGGATGATGCGCATCCTCTCGTCTTCCTCAAGGTGCCCCATTCACTTTCATCCCCTGCCAAAGCTAAGCGCTAGCAGTCACTGCTTTTCCCCTCAGTGATAACCTCGKCGGCAAGAACCAGCTCCCGCAGAGTGCTAGGGGTCCTCTGCTGCTTACCTGTGGTACACAAATTCCGAATGCCTGAATCGTGGCTGAGGTAGCATCCTTGGTACCTGGAACAACCAAAACATGACTCTGTCAGCAGGCCACACATGCCAAACTGCCGACATGCAGGAGGAATGCCCTCCACCGAAACACTCCCTCACGTGCCCTCCTAGAAAAGGCCCGCGCAGCACCTAGAAATGCAGAGCAAAAGCCATCACCAAGATGCAGGCCACCACCAGGCAGAGCATAATGTATCTCAGATCCAGCAAAGTCCCTCCCTGGGCTCCTGGGGACCGCTCAGCCGTTTCTCTTCACACCTCCAAGAAAAACTTCAGGAAAACACAGAGGCAGGACCGCTACTTGAGAGGGTGCCAAAAAGCACACRCTATCCACAGCAATGCACCCCCTCCCAACACCTTTACCAGCTTTGGGCACCCATCCTGAATGCCAGGCTATGCGCCGCAAGGCCCGGGCCCTCCCGGCACCTGTCAAAGCAGAAGAGCTGCGGCGACGGGGACGGGCGCAGCACGACAACCCCTCGGCGCTAGGTGCCGCTTCCTCCTCCGGGACACGAGCGATGCGCTCCCCGCCTTACTCCACACCTACGTGCGCAAAGAAAAAAGCGTGGACTCTGATGTTCCGGACAAGTCCGGAAGAGAATCAAAAGCCGTCATCCGTGATGGAAGGACCTGAGACTGTGAGACCACAGGGAAGAGAAGCCCGACGGGGCATCGGGAAGGCGCTAAACAAGACCGGCTTCGGAAGAGGAAGCGGCTGCCCACGATGCCTCAACGATGGACGCAAAGAGAATCTTCTGCCCCTTCGTAGCCCCATGCGCAACCCACAACGAGAGCCACCCGCCCTAGGACGATGAGGGACGTGGTCACGCAAGAACCCAATGGCCAGGCAGAAAGGCCCAAGGTTTGCACAACAGAGCAAATAACACTGTGAGAGGGCGCCAAGACGACGCAAGAGCACGCGAGCGACGGCGCGAGAGACTCCGTCCGCGAGCGACGCCTCCCGCGCTAGCGCCGCACGGCGTGGGACGCGCTCCGGGAGCGCAAAGAACAAAAGCGCTACCCAGACCTGAGCGAAAGAGAGCCGAGCTTCGATGCTAACCGCACGCTACGTGATGACGCGGATGCTTATTTTTAGTATCTGAAGCAAGACCGAGGAAAATGAAGCCAGTTTCGGCGCAATTTGAGCGCTGCAGGAAGAAAGGAGGCTGGCAAAAGTAGTAAGGTCCTTCGATCCCGGTACACGGTCTGTGAGCAAAGAGAGGTACAGATTTCCTCTGCCAAGTTCCCGACACAAACAGAATGTTTGAAGCTATGCTGTAAATAGGAGGAAAACACCACACAGTAAAAACAGTGCTTGTCAGTCTCGCTGGCGACAAGTACTCACGTTCAGCCAATTGCCGCCCAGGAAAACCGAGATAGAATTTGAGTTCACACTGGCGTGAGACCCACATTGAAAACCATATTTACCTTGGATGGCAAAAACAATGCTCACGGAGCCTTGTCGAAACGCTGCCCCAGCCCTGCTCAGAGTTGGATTTCGTTTATGATAAGAAGAACAGAGCAAGGTTACAAAAATCACATCGCTGCCGTTTCCCTGTCTTCCTAATGTGAACGGGAACGCTACATCAGAGCTGAGGAACGTGAGTAAATTCCAAATTAATTTAGGGTGCCGAGTCGAAGCGAGATCCGACAGCGATGGTTGCCAAAAGGGCCGGGCAGCCTTTACGTGAAGTAGTAGGACTACATTTATCTTCCCATTATACTCACGGCGGATCTTTGATACAAATCTTTGCCCCCTTGGATCATCTTCTCAGAAAGCTGGAACTCAGAGACATGTGTGGTGCGAAACTGTCCCGAGTTTATGACAAATCACCAGAGTTCTGCATGATCTGGAAAGCGAGTGGTAGTAGCAAAGAGCTAACTCRGTCTCACTGGCTGGATCAAACACAGGACAAGTGCAGGTGGGGAGATACAAGACACACGCTTATGCGCACGCGGACAGTGAAGCCGTACAAGTCCCGATGTCCTTCGCTCACCTCCACGAATGCCATCGCCAGCCCTTTCTCAGAGCGTCGGCTAAAGCTGCAGAACCCAACATCCACCTTACGAGCCACAAACCGAGGCACTGAAAGCAAAGGGGATGTGCTATTTGTGCAGACGAGCGCTCCCGCGAGGGAGAAAGGGAACAGAATCGGCAAGAGAATCCTCGTTGGACGGGGGTGTCCAGCGCTACAGTCGTTCCTCTAGTCATTAATAGCTGTTGCAGTTGTAGTTAGATTATAGAAGGACTCTACATGCAAATAAATATCCACCATCTAGTGTACTGAGAAAGATCTTTGCTACGGACAAGCTGACTCGTTTTATTGGAATCGAGCACTAACGCACTGAAATCCTCAGGACCCGACGGTTTGATGAAAATCTGAAAAATAACACATTCTTCCTAGATGTATATTGTAATACTTGACCTGCATAGTTACCTCCATATTTCCTATGCTAGAAATCCATGCCATCCCGACTCGTATATTCCCATTTATTCAATGCCCGCAGTACCCGATTACTCAGTCAATCGGCCAGGTTCGTGTTTTTGTTATGTAAGATATTGGCCAAAGAAGATTTCAAATGATATCTCTTCCTCCCTAAAGGTATTTAGCGCTTAATATCTTACTTGAGGTTATTAATAGTTGTGGACTTTACATTAATTGCTGCCATGGAGCAGCCACGGAAAAAGGAATCCC